ACCAGGGAGTGAATTTCTTGTCATAGAATAGGAGTATGTTTGACTCTGTGAGAAACTGACAAACTATTCTTCAAATGGTTTACAATTTTCCTTTCCCACTAGAAATTTAGGAGAATGATCTCACCAACATGTCGTATCAGCAATCTTTTAAATCACAGTCATTCTAGTGGGTGTGAAACGGTATCTCTTTGTGGTTTTAATTTGTATTTCCTTGATGACTACTGATACGGCTTATTGATTGATCATTCCTATGTCTTCTTTTGTGAAGTGATTTTTCAAGATCTTTGACTATTTTTTTCATAACTGGGTTGTCATTTTATTATTGAGCTGTAGGAGTTCTTTATATACTTCAGGATACATTCAAGTCCTTTGTCATATAAATATATATTACAAATATTTTCTCCCAGTCTATGGCATGACCATTCATTTTCTTAACAATGTATAACAGATCAGAAGTTATACATATAACTTATGTTTACACATATAAGATGTATAAATGATCAGAAGTTTTTAATTTTGATGAAATCCAATTATTATAGACTGCATGTATGTGTCCCACCAAAATTCATATGTTGAAACCCTAATCCCCAGTGTGATGGTATTTGGAGGTAGGGCCTTTGGGAGGTAATTTAGGTCATGAGGGTAACGCCCTCATGAGGGGATTAGTGCCCTTATAAGAAGAGACAGGAGAGCGCTTTCCCTCTCTCTCTCTCCTTCTCTGTCTCTCCATTTCTCCCATAGGAAGAAGTGAGAAGGCAGCTGTCTACAAGCTGGCAAGTGAGCCCTGATCAGATACCAGATCTACCAGCACCTTGATCTTGGACTTCCCAGCCTCCAAAACTGTGAGAAATAAATGTTTGTTGTTTAAGCCACCCAGTCTACCATATTTTTGTTATAGCAGCCTGAACTTTTTAAGATTACTGCTATTTGTGTTCTAAGAAATCTCTGCCTACTCCAGGTTGTGAAGATATTTCCCAACATTTTTACTTCTGGATGCTTTATAGGTCTATGATCCATCTTGAATTAATTTTTGTATATAGTGTGAGTTGGGAGTCAAGTTCTTTTTTTTCCCCACAATCGCATACCCAGTTGTGTCAGCAACGCAGTTGAGAAGACTAGCCTTTCTCCTTTTGCTAAAAATCAGTTGACTGCATATGTCTATTTCTGGACTTTATTCTGTTAGATTAAGGTATTTGTCTATCCTTACACCATTATCACACTGCCTTGATTACTGTAGCTACCAGATATCATAAATTTCTCAATTTTCTTCTTCTCTTTTCAAAGTGGTTATTAACTCTTCTAAACACTGTGTTTCTGTGTAAATTTTAGAATAAATGTCTGTTTCTAAAAATGTGGCTGCTTCAATTTTTATTGCAATAACCTTATATCTGTAGATCAATTTGGAGAGAATGGACATCTTATCAAATATTGAGTTATCCAATCTATAAACATAGCATAGCTTACCATTAGTTATTTTTTCTCAGCGATATTTTGTGATTTTCAATGTAGAGGTTTTACACATTAGATTTAATCAAATTTATTTTATAATTTTTGATGTTATTATAAATGATATTTTTAGTTCATTTATAAATATTTATGGTTAGTATATAAAAATAGAATTTTTACTGGTATATTGACTTTGTACCTGTAATAAGGCTTAATTTACTTATTCTCTCTAGTAATTTTCTGATAGATTCTTTAGGCTTTTGAATATAAACAATTATGTTGTCTGCAAATAAAGACAGGTAAGTTTTTCCTTTCTGATCTCTGGCTGTTCATTTCATTTTCTTGGTTTATTTCATTTGCTAAGACCTCTGCTACAATAAAAAAGTGATAAGAGAAAAATTCTCGCCTTGTTCACAATTTAATGGAAAAATGTTCAATATTTCACTGTTAAGTATGATGTTAACTAAAGGTTTACCCCATATGCCTTATACAATAAGGAGTATCCTGAAATGAACAGCTGTAAACAGCTGTATCAACGTGGATTTTTCACCCAGCGGGGTTCCCTTTTTCCAAGGTTTGAATGTCTATTTTTTGTTGCTCTCCAATGGCTTCACACATTTTTATACATACATTATAATTAATCTCAGTAAGAAGTATAGCCCAATGAAAGCTACTCCACTATTTTTTTTCGTGAGGAAGATTAGCTCTGAGCTAACATCCATTGCCAATCCTCCTCTTTTTGCTGAGGAGGATTGGCCCTGGGCTAACATCCGTGCCCATCTTCCTCTACTTTATATGTAGGATGTCACCACAGTGTGGCTTGATAAGCAGTGTGTAGGTCTATGCCCTGAACTGGTGAACCCCAGGCTGCCGAAGCAGAGCGTGCGAAATTAACCACTACGCCACCAGGCTGGCCCCCAAGCTACTCCACTATTAATGAAAACTTCCACTGAATATTTAATTTCAATTATGTTCTTAATTTCTTTTTTTTTTTTTTTTGAGGAAGATTTGCCCTGAGCTAACATCTGTTGCCAATCCTCCTCTTTTTTACTGAGGAAGATGGGCCCTGGGCTAACACCTGTGCCCATCTTCCTCTACTTTATATGGGACGCCGCCACAGCATGGCTCGATGAGCAGTGCGTAGGTCCGCACCCAAGACCCAAACCTGCGAACCCCAGGCTGCTGAAGCAGAGTGCATGAACTTAACTGCTGCACCACCGGGCTGGCCCCAATTTCTTAACAGAAGTTTTACTCAGTAGTTTTTTTTCTAAGCCTGTTAGATCTTTTTTGAGAGTCTTTGTTCCTTTCTCATTTGTTATTCCCTCTCTTATTTTAAAAAGGCATTAGATGTATTTATTTTACATTCTGTATCTGATTAATACATGAGGCATTTACATGCCTCCCACATAATGCTCATGGTACTTTTTTTTCCTCATACTTTTTTTAAATTATTTTTTCAAATGTGAACTCATGTTCCCTGGAACTTTATCTCTGGGAATTCTTTGCATCCTGAGTTGAGAGTACATTTTCCAGAGAGAATATACATTGATTCTTGGAAACCTGGGCATGCTACCAAGATGGTTCCATTTTCATTTAAATTCTTGTTTGGGTTTTTTCACCCTTGAAGACTTGGCACCCAACCTCCATGAAGACCAGCCCATGGCCAAGAATGCTTAGAAGAGACTCTTTTGTTCCTCTACCAACTCAATAATGAGAAAAGCATGTTTTCTTGGACGTATTCTGTCTTTATAATATTAGATATTTTTCCTTGTTTTCTGTTTCTCTGAGAGCGTAATCTGTGTGATTCCTGGCTCTGGGCAATGTTCTCTGTCAACGTCCTACCCTGCCCAGGTCCAAAACCTGGTCTCCTGTTCCCAGAGAGCGCAGCTACTAAAATCAAACCTCTAGGCCACCTAGGCTTGCTGGGTGCCCACAAGACAGCAGCTTCAGTGTTTGAGTTCCACCCTACACTATTGCTCGAGCTTGGTTCCCCACCTCACAGGAATCCCAATGCTGTCTTATAAACTCAGCCATGCATGTAATACTGCTTTTCATGTTCCATCCGGTATTTCTAGACATATTGTAGTGAGAGAATTTCAGTGCATCTAGTTTGATATATAGCAAGAAATGGAAATATTCAACATTCACTTTTTAATCTCTAAAGGCTTTAGTTATTACTATTTATTTAGCTAATTGACAAAAGAGTTAGCTAATGGGTAACAATGGCTAATAGGAGGGATATTTATTGACCTCTATGCCTAAAAATACTGAATATTGAATTTGATTTTTTAAAAACAGCTAAGAAAAGAGGAATGAATATAATGGATAGTCTCCATCTTTCATCAAGGTTTTACTTCTAGAATATTCCAAAAGCTTTCCCTAAAGAGCTGTAAAAGGCATAGCAAATGAAGGAATTGTAAAGAAGAGTGATTGAGGCCTTGTGTCAGTACCTCATCAGTTCTCAAAGCTGTCTTTCATGGATAAAATAAAGCTTGAATGGATCAAAATGTTTCCTGGAAGTTAGCCAGATTTCACATGAAAGGACTTATTCTGCTCCTTTACTATAGAGAGAAACCGCTTAGCAATTCCACATAATAAATTTAATTCCTAACACTAAATTACACACTGTAACATGTAGATGATAAAACCTATTTCATCAATTGTTAAATATATGAATTGCAAAATGTTTAGCATAGTAGCTTTACACATAGTAAACTGCTCATTAAATGGTAGCTATTATTATTTCCATATAAAAGTTCTGATGTGAGAAACTTTTAATATCTTTGTAAATGTTAAGTTTAGAGATGGTTTAATGACCTTGAAGTACTGACGGAAGGGACTCAGAAAAACTCAGCCTGGGTTTCCCATCCTGATGGAGTTCCCTCCTGAGGCCCAAAGGGCCTGGGTTTCTCCTCAGTTATGACTGCCCAGTTCTCTTATAGTTTTGCACTGAAAGCAGTTTATGTGACTGGGAGCATCTTTTTTCTGTGGTGTGACATGCAAGGGGATGCATGTTAGGCATTTGAGGATTACAAAGATGGATAGCAAGGAGTCTCTGTCCTCAAGGAGCCTATAGTCTCGTGGTGTGATTCTCAACCCCAGTTGTACTTTCGAATCGCCTAGAAAGATTTCAAAAAAATAACTAACATGCACATGTGTATCTTTTCTCCGTACATAGACAGTGGACATCAGGGGGCAGGAGCCATACAATCTTCTTTCCTTGTTCCTTATAGCCAATCCCTATATGTAGCAGGAATTGATTAAAACCTACTTAAAATTATTAAACAAAACTACTAACAAAGTCCAGTTTTAAAGGCACACTATTATGAGAATCTTTAGTAGGAGTCACAAATATGGTTGAAATATTAAATTCCTAGGCCCAAAAGAATGTGCTTGTAACACTGCTCCCTGTGTTAATTGTGCCAATTTCAAAGGCCACATCTCCCAAAGTGAAAATAACAGGTGTACCAAAAGTAAAAGAAAATTGCAATTATAACACAACTTTGTGTTTAGAAATATCTCATATGATACTTAAGTTATAGAATTTGTCTTACCAATTTAAGATAACCCTCAGCATCTAGAATTAAGTTTTCTGGTTTCAGGTCTCTGTAGATAATACCCAGTCGATGCAGGTAATCAAATGCTTCTGTCACACAAGCAACACAGAACTTGGAGGTGGCTTCATCAAAGCTGCCTCTGCAATGAAATCATTTTCCTCTTAATACTCTAGACACACATCGTTGTTGTCTGTTCTAGGTGTCAGTTATTATTTTGGTAAATTGATGCAATATAAACGTTTTGTAGGGCATCAACACTAACAAGTATTAAAGCTGCCAATGAATTAGACTGCTGATGATACAGAAACTGAGGGGCATACTTGATGCAAACAAGACCTACTTCACTAAAATTAAAATGTCTACCTCCAAAAAAATTGTTCCTGGTAACCACATTTGAACATATAAAACAGAAAGATAAAAAAACAACACTTTTTTCAGACATCTATGGCAAACTCTGGAGAAAATGCAACTATTTCAATGCAGAGCTTGACCTAGACTTCTGTAATTGATTGCTGGACTCAACAATGACTCAAGGGATCATTTTCATTTCTGTTTGTATAGCATGTAACAATAACCCATGTAGAAACGGGGTCATAACTCTTTCCTGTTTGGTGCACCTTGATGATATTAGAGTCGCCCTGGGTCAGCACTGTGAGCAGGTTTACATACTGAATTATTAAAATGTGGTGGTGATTTGCTGCACGGTATAACAGAAGGATGTGGCTCTGGAGTAAGAGAAACTGGCTTGACTCCTGCATATTCCACTCACTGTGTCCTTGGGCAAGTTGTTTAGCTGTTCTAAGCCTCAGATCCCTATCTGTAAAACGGGTTTACTACTTCCTTAACAAGGTTGTTTTGAGGATCAGGCACAGTGTCTAACAGGTGGTAGGAATTCCCATTTCTAAATAGATTTGGATTTTCTAAATTGATTTGCCTGTTGAAGCAAAGATGGAAGATGCAAATGCTTTTGCAGGTATCACACAAGTCTCCTCACTTTTCCAGGTTTTCCCCATTCAGATCCATCTAACAATATGTTCCTAACACAACAGTCATCTCTAATCAGATGCTCAAAGGTCTCTTATTACCTAGGTCTGTGATTCTCGACCATGAATGCACATTAGAATTGCCTGAGAGGCAGTTAAAAAATCATTTACTGGAGGGCTTGCCCAGTGGCATAGCAGTTAAGTTCACGTGCTCCGCTTTGGCAGCCAGGGGTTCGCTGGTTCAGATCCCAGGTGTGGACCTACGCACCACTCATTAAGCCATGCTGTGGCGGCATCCCATGTACAAAATAGAGGAAGATGGGCACAGATGTTAGCTCAGGGCTAATCTTCCTCAGCAAAAAGAGGAAGATTGGCAACGGATGTTAACTTAGGGCCAATCTTCCTCAAAAAAAATAAATAAAATTATTTACTGGACCCCATCACACATGAACCAAATCATAACCTCTGGCATTAGAGTTACTTGTAGTTTGTAAAAGCTACCCATGTGATTGTAACGTGAAGGCAGGGTTGAGAACCACTGGCCTATGTAATACCGTCTAAATGTTTGGCCTGTCATTATCCTCCACAACCGAGTGCAAACTCACCTTCCCATCTCCTCTTCTGCTGGCCCTGTCTTCTACTCAAATTCTGCTGTTAATCATCCACCAAGAGACTTAATCCTATTCCAGCTTTTCTGCCGTATCTTATATCAGTTTCCCTTCCTCTCTACCTTTACAAATTTTGGTCATCTTTAGAGTTTAATTCAAGTCCTTCTTCTAAAATCATGTTTTTCTATCTTTCCTCTCCTCTGAGCTGACTATCTACAACATTCATCTGGCACTTAATTACAAATTTCTAACTTCTTTGTCATATTTAGTTTTCACATTAAATAATGAAATGTTTCAAAATTGCATATTACATTATCTCCCCAAATAAAATCTAAACTCACTGGAGGAAAAGTTTATACTGTTTACTCTCTTGGTTAGAAAAGCTTACATTGTCTAGAAAACCCCCACACTGTCCACTATGGAGCCTTATACTAGGTGGTGCTCAGCAAAAATCTGGTTTTGATTGTATGGAAATCACCCCTTTTGTAAAACTGAATCTTTGCAGACATCTTACTCTGCTTCTCAGTGAGGGCTTCACCACTCCCCACATCTTTCTTCATCTCCCTTCTAGAGATTTAGAATCACTATCATCTGGGTTTATACCCACTCTGTCTCATACTAACCATGCGATCATGGATAGTTCACACTCTCTCCAGGCCGGGGATTCTTTAATCCCTAATACGGGAATGGCAATGACTGCCTTACAGGGTGCCTATTACGTGATTATGATGTTAGCTAAGAAAATATCACTATTATTACTTTATTTTATCAGGTGCTAATATTTTCTTAGATCATTTCTTAATGACTTTCTTTTTATCTCTTTAAATGATCATGAATATAGCATCCTTTAGACCAGATGTGAGTAGACAAAAGTTATTGTTTATAATTCATTTTCATTACCTGTCCCTTAATATACTCCATAGCTCCCCACCTAAGCAGGCCTCCAGAAGCATGTATACGTATTTATTATCCTTGAAAGTACGATATAACCTGTGAAGACAAATAAAAACATGGTTATTATTAGAAATCTAGTTTTAAAACCTCTTTAAAGTTGCTTAAGAGCATCATCAATAACATTTTGAACAATGGTCCTCATCTCTTTCCAAACATCCTCCAGCTACACTGGGTTTCTCACTGAATACTCTGATCTTTCCTCCTGCCTCGCTTTTGCTCATGTTGGCCCCTTTACTTGGACTGCGCTCCCTCTACCCACAGGCTGACCTTCTTAATCTCAGTTTCACTGTAGAAGTGTTATCTACTCCTCAAGGCCAAACTCAGGGGCCACTTTCCTAATAGCAGCTCATTACCCCACCTACCAAATATGGCCTCTCCTTCCTCCAAACACCCAGAGACCTCTGCATATATCTCTTTTAAGATCTGCCTTGTATAACAGTTATTCATGCTTTACATCCTCTCATTGGTCTCAGGAAACAGACTCTGAGACAGAGATTTGTAAGCAGTAAGTTTAGTGAAGAGGGCACTTGGGAACCACACTCACGGGGGAGGAGAGAAGCAGACTTGGGCAAAGGGAGAACTGGGCTATGATCTAGTTTCAACAAAAGCCTCAGCTTCAAGGAGCCCTGCCATCATTGAATGCAGGATGTACCTGGAGAGAGAGTATGATCTTGGGCAAGGTGGATCTCTTCACCTTAGAGTAATAGGCAGAGAGGGACTGAATTAGAGTCCTCAGTTGGCAACACTCCCAGAAGCTGGGACAATGACAGCCTCAGTCCTGATGTGGGACCCGGGCAGGGTACCATGTTTCAACACTGAGTGAAAGTAGTTTCTGGGTCTTAATCAAGATACCCCCTTTTCTCCCTAGCACCATGCCCAGGCTACAGTTGACAGTAGAGCAGCCATATCATGTACAGACAGCAGAAGTAATCTAGTAAAGTGGTTCAGTGTGGGCTCTGGAACCAAGCTGCCTAGGCCTGAATTGCTGATCAGCCGTTTATTAGCTATGCAACCTGTTTTCTTATTTGTTCTTGTTCAATGAGGATAATAACATCTACCTCACTGCTCTATTGTGAAGATCAAACAAATATATATATTCATTTGATTATATATTGAGTATATATGATTGATATATATTATTTATATATTAATTTAATATATTTTATATATCTATATATACAATATATATAAAATAAATATAAATATAAAATATTTTTAAATAAAAAAATATATTACATATGTGAGATATATATATTTTGTTAGAAGAGTGCCTGGCAATGTTAATTTCTCAACAAATGCTGTCATTAATATTTATTCTTAATATTATTATTGTCCTACTATATGCCAGGCACTTTGCAAAGAGCTGGAAATGAGAAAATGAATAAAACCTAATCTATGCCCTGAAGCTGCTCATGATAGTTTGTTAATGAATTATTGATTTAAAAAAAAGGGGGAGGCATTCTGAGAACATAGTTAATACAAAGATAATTGGATGACACTACTGCCAGCATTGCCTGGGTTCAGACTTCTTTTTTAATCTTGGAAAAAAATGGGTCTGGGAATATGGATAGGCAGGAAGAATCTCTCAAGGCATTTGATCAAAAAGTATAAATTCTATTCACTATAGGAGCACTTTACATAATCCAGAAATCACTAAAACTATGCTCTGGGGCATTAAGACATATATGAAAATAGATATTTCAACTGGGCGACACCACTAACCCATGAAATCACAAGTAAAGAGAGCCACGGCATAGAATAACATATTTCTCTTCCCAACTCTGGTGATAGCTACAGAAAGAACAGTAACTAGTAGGAGGTGGATCTTTGGGCATCTAGGCACTGCTAGGACTATGGTCTGTTGCTCCTTGGCAGCCTACATGCACCCAAATGCCACTTCTTGCAGAAATTCAACAGCAGCACACTCCTTGAGGGGTTTCAAATGAATTCTTGCTTTGCAAATTCTGCATTAGGTCTGGATTAAACAATCAGTTCAAATTATTCCACAATAATTTTATATTCTCTCTCTCTCTCCCTCTCTGTCTCTCTCTCTCTCTCTCTCTCACACACACACACACACACACACACACACACACACACACACGCCTTCTTGAGATTTACTCAAGAATAAAAAAATCTGGACTCTTGACTCCAGATCTCAAATTTCTAACATTTTATGTATTGTTGCTGTGACTAGGATGTAGAATTCAGAGTGGGGCCTCCTCTTCCTCTTCTGTCCTCTTGTAAGGAAATACTCAAGAGAGCCTCAAACCCTAAATTCTGGGCACCAAATGCACACTTACTTCACAATGAAGGGAGAACACAGCTCTTCCAAAATCCTCTTTTCTGAGTAGACATGCTCCTGCTGCTTAGTGTCAACTATGTGCCTCTTCTTTATACACTTCATAGCAAAAGCAACATTCTCATTTTTTACCTTCACCTATGTAAAAAGAGAAAGATCCTTCAAAATTAACTTACTAGGAAAGATTTACAAGATCTACACAAAATATGTTAACTAATGAGAGTTAAAATTCTTTCACATTTAAATAGTAAGTAAGCTTTTAACCACTTATCCCTCTGGGAACTGGGTTCTTTTCAGTTATACACACTCCCCCTTCATTGTAATTTCTAAAAGAGCGCACATATCTGCAACACGGTTCTAAAATGTTGGTATTGAAACAAGAAAAAAACTCTAGATAGAAGATTTAATGTTTAGAAATCTATTCAGTTTTGAGTGTGTGACATTAAAAACTTTGACCAGAATTGCCAAAAATTATTTTTTCTTTATATTCACTTCTTTGATTTTCAAAACAAAACATTAAATCAAGATCCATATCTGCACTATCCAATATGATAGCCACTAGTCACATGAGGTTATTTAATTTTAAATTAATTACAATTAAAAATTCAGTTCCTCAGTTGCACTAGCCACATTGCAAAAGCTCACCAGCCACATCTAGCTAGTGGCTACCCTATTGGACAGCGGAGATATAGAAACATTTCCATCAGCGCAGAAAGTTCTATTGGTAAACCACTGCTCTAGATGGACAACTAAAATTTTCCCTTAAAAGGAAATAAAAGGGCCGGCCCGGTGGCTTAGTGGTTAGGTGCGCGCACTCCGCTGCTGGCGGCCCGGGTTCGGATCCTGGGCGCACACCAACGCACCACTTCTCCGGCCATGCTGAGGCCGTGTCCCACATATAGCAACTAGAAGGATGTGCAACTATCACGTACAACTATCTACTGGGGCTTTGGAGGGGAAGAAAAAAAAGGAGGAGGATTGGCAACAGATGTTAGCTCAGAGGCGGTCTTCCTCAGTAAAATGAGGAGGATTAGCACGGATGTTAGCTCAGGGCTGATCTTCCTCACAAAAAAAAAAAAAACGGAAATAAAAAATTTTAATAGGTATTTATTTAGATAGGCTTAAAACTCCACAAATGGACAATATTTGACAAGCAATGAAATTGTGCCAAAATGGTTGCACCCCATATTTTGCTCACATTTGCCATTAGTGCCGCCTACGACTTTTAAATCAATGGTGGAATTATTGTTTCAATTATTATTATCTAACTATATAAAAAACAGAACTCAGCATTGTTAATTCAATTTTTTTGCCAAGATCTTTGGTGAAAAATACCACTGCAGATGGATATTGCCCTTATCTCTCCATATGGCAGAAGAAACATTACACATACTCTTTGGCCTATTGAGAAATCGTTTCCTCTCCCCTCACCCATCAGAGATAAGTATTGACTGAGTGTAAAGTGTACTATCCAGAGTTTCCTGGAAGCAATTCAGATCTGCTCGTGCCCAGGGCCATCCAGCAGACGGAGGTGTCAGCATAGTTCCCGGAGCCTAATGTACAGTGAATCATTAAAAATCTGCTGGGCAAAGAAGGGCTTGGTAATTGCCAAGGATTCAGAGCCATCTGTACCCAGTAAGGTCACAAATCTCCATTCTACAGTTTCTTCAGAGAACTTGATCTGACAGTACCACTCTGCTACTCCTTCGAAGCTGATTATAAAGCTCAGAGAGGTGGTGATATGGAAGATGCAGTCGAAATTAGGCCATAAGTTCCCACCCGTCCCGATCAACACTACAGAAGGCCGCTCTTCAAACGTCCCTTGCATTCATCTTCTTTTCTTTTTTTCTGATAGAAAATTTTGAACAACCCAAAAATAGGATAATGAAAGCCAAATACAGACATGCCAGTGGAGCTGTTTAAGAAATGGAACTATAATATTAAAGATTTTGTTTCTATGACACTTTCACTGCACACATTCTTCTTTCTTTAGTATATAGTTAATGTCATGAGTGTATGTATACACACATTTTGCTGTTAGGAAATACTTTTTTTTATGTTGTACAGCCTTTGGGAATGCTTACTTGGTACATTCTCCAATAATTATCATCAAGAAAAAATTCACCAAAGGATATGAGGTAAGAAGCTTGAAATAGCAGCTATATTATTACAAGTTATTTACTAGCACAGACCTGCTACTATACAATATACAGAGTGAAAAGTGTACTTTCTCACTTTCAGTTCAAACCAACATTTAAGATAGCAACAACAATTCACATATTCCTCCAAGATACACTGGAATATAAAACAAAAAAAACTCAAAAGGCTTCTCTCAGATGCTTGAAACGTAAACCCCTTACAAGCTCAACTCTTCCGAACCCACCAACGCCCAGTGTTGCAATAATCTCAAGGTTCTGGAATGGGGATGACGAGGAAAATCTGGCCACCTTCTCCTTCAGTTGAATCATCTCCAGAGAGACTGCTTTGGACAGCTTCCAGTTAGACATGGATCTCCTGTATAAGAGAAGTGAAACTTTACACACACTCCTTAGTCAAGCAGGGGCCACACAACACATAAATTCCACTCTTACAACAGTCTTATTTCTGCCAGTAATTACCACTCATAATTGCGCCAAAAGCTATCTCAACTTTTATAGGATCAGATTCAGTTACACCCGGAGAGAAAAACAAGAGAATATACAAACAAAAAAATGACACACTCACACAGTAAGAAAAAGACAAATGTCAAATTGAATCAATGAGAGGTAAAAACGGGTGAATTGTGTGGTATGTAAAATATATCTCAATAAAGCTGTTAAAAAACAAGTCAGTGGAGGAAATAAAACCAGAGAGTCATTTCCTTTGCTGCACATACAAGAGAATGCCACACTGAGAATCTCTGCCGTGTTCTGCTATTTTTGTCAGATCTTGAAGCTTTCCATGGCTGAACCAGAATGACTGCTTTGTGAAACAGGACAAATATATTTCTTACTTTCTGTCTAAGTATTGTTATTTGGAAATACTCATTTTTCTCTTTTAATTAAGGTTTGCTGCTCTGGATTATATATTTATAAATTGTTCTGACTACAAAAGGCCTTTGGCATAAAAACTGCAAATATATTCCTTGCAAAAAAAAAAAAAATATGAAGTCCTGATTGAATGATCTAATTTAACTCAAATGTCAGCTTTCTGAAACTTCTGACTCTTTGGCTTCAACAGTATTATCTGGTGAATATATGATTAAGTATTCATTCTACATAATGTTTTAGTAAAGGATTTTCAAATAATTTTAATTTTAAAAAGTAGATTTTTCTATTAAACAAAAACTTTTCCATTAGCATTACTATGTTTAGAGCCCTACTCAACTCCTTCTCACACACACACACATACACACACACACACACACACACACACGTTCACATAGCCCTGGGCAATAGCTCCCTTATATTTTGCAATCATCTGACTCTACCCCTAGCTCTTTACCTGGAATCAGAATGAACGGGCTACTCTAGTGCCTTGGCATTCCTGTTTGATTTCCATGGGCAAGAGCAGCTTCATTTTTGAAGTAATGTCCTTTTGAGCTAAGTCACCAGACAATGTAAAGAATTCCTTTCCCGAGGCCCCCCATCAAGAAATTTCTCCCTAACATTACTGCTCATCAGCCAAAATAAGGAGCTGACTACTTATAGACTAAAATAACATCCATGCTAGTGGTAAGTGGTATCCTTTTTGTAAAAGAACAATTTAAAAGAACCTCCCACCCCAAATTTTCTAGTGATGTGACACTAAATGTTACTGTGTAGCAAATCACACCCCTTTGTCCCCTTCTTCATCATATCTCGCTTAGGAAAATATTCCTCCACTTACTTCGCATGTCTTTTTTCATCATCACGGTTCAGGTTTGCCACATACCCTTCAAGGTATTTTTGGAGTTCTTCAAAAGTCCCGACTGTTTGGTTGAACGTTCTAAATGAGTAAAATAAAATAAAATAAAAAGCTTTGGGCTGACAGCTACCATTGCAACTTGACATTCTTCTTAAGCTCATAAAAGACTATTTATATGGTTATTCACAGCTTTGAAAATTGTTTCTCAATAATTTATGTCACATTAAAGTTGCCATAATATATAGAATAGTTATTAGAAGTTATATATAATTGATCCTTGCGTTTATGAAAGCAAAGAGGCTATCAGTGAGAAGAGAAAAATTTCTGTAGGTTCCTGCCTTGCAGTTCACGTTTACCAACAATTGTTCTTTTTAAGAAGACAGTGGAAAGGAAATAGTCCACATAATCTGTTTACTGAATCACCAGGTTACATGGGTTACAGATTTCTCTAACTTTGCTTAATCAAATTAAGCTCTTTATTTCAAAAATTGAGGATAAAATTTTTCTCTTCTTTGTCCCTAGATAATATTCCTCATTTCACATTCCTTCATAATTAAACCCAAATTTTTTACATTAACTTAGGAGTTCTCTGTCTGAGGCTCAGCCAACATCTTCCCGTGACCGCCCTCACCCTTCACGGCTCACGGGTCTGTTGTGGGCCCCATCTGAACTCCCTGTCCCCAGTCCATCGTCTCTGGGACTTCTTACACGCAGCACTGCTCACAAGAAAAAATAATCTTCCTCACCAGTAGAATATATTTTCTTGATTATCCTTCTAATGTTTCCCCATCCCCACAGTCGACAAACTATCTTGATCTGTGATTTTTAGGGTAGTTCTCTTCCCTACTACAAAATAGTATCCTTCTAGAACCATGCTTTAATCATCCAGTAAATTTTAAGCATCTGGACATAGGAAAATGAAAGGAATGAAAATTTACCTCAAAACACCTAAAACTAATAAACCAGAGCCACATCCTTAGTGTACTGTTGCCACTTACTGCCTGCCAAGCCCTGAAGACCTTTACCCACATTTAATTGCCCACCAGTCTATATTTACATTACTAAGCATATCTTATATACTGTGCTGGGTGTTTTCCATTTTCCCCTCCAGGTATACTCTCTACTCTTTTCCACCCTTCTCCTTGGACTGTCCTTTGTTGACTGTAGAGTAGTGAGAAACAAAATAGTATTGCCACAGAATTTCAAATTTCCAACGGTTGACATTTTCAAGTAAAAAGGAAATACTTCTTTACCTTGTTTTTATTTATTCTATATGTCACCATTATTTTGCCTGGTATTAAACTAATTGAAGTATTGTTGTAAACAAATTTTATTTTTTAAATGTAGGTGACACTGGCCTCACAGGTCCCTAGAAATTCCCCACAAAGTTAAAGTCAAGTTTAAACAGCTACATTCTAGCGATAACATTCACACAGACTGTTTTCATTCTGATGTTACAGCCTGAGAGGTAACTAATCAACTCCTTTGAGATTTGTCCCAACAACCAAACAATGAGAGAGAGATCCCAAATAACACTTCCCATTTATTCAAAGCTATTGCCATTTTCCACAATTATTTCACACATTTTATCATATTTTAAAAATAGGAAATACAGCTTCAACTCTCCTTCTTTAAATGTATTCATTCTATGTATTTTTTTAAATCATGAATTAGGAAAGAAGAAATAAAGAGCCATAGGCTTTCAGTCACAATATTTCATTGCCCTTTACTCAGTCGACACCTGGAGCACTTCCTGTATGCCAAGGACTACGTCAGATGCCGGCACCGCAACGGTAGTGAGCAAGTAAACGTTTCTGTACTCGGGAAGCTTACAGAAGAGTGGAAAGACAGATATTACATACAGCAATTAAACAAGGTGTGAACAATGACATGATAAGGATAGATGGGGTGCTATGGGAGAATTATCACGGGATCTTAATCTAATCTATAAGTCATAGTGATGATGAGCATCTAATTTTTCATTCAAACTGAATACTTTTCAGAGTGAAAGGGGGTACCAATAACAAATACGTTGGGATAGCCAGAACTGTCTGAGTTAACCCAGGATGTAGGTCAACCTTGTCATACCTGATATTCAGCTCCTCTCATCCATAAAATAAATTCATGTAACTTTTTGTCTCATTGTGCCTAACACAATACTTTGTATATTATAGAATTCCAACTACACACATGTAAACTAAACATTTTAAAATTATAAACTTCCAAATAATTTATAAACTCTATAAAATCACTGCATCTTTTTCATGGATTATGAATACATGAGATGTTGTATAAATATTTGGTTATGTGATTACAAGAAGAAATAGGAAAGGAGTTCTTCCTTTCTATCGTATTTTTAGTCCTAGCATTTTGGGGTAATTTATAAGGTCTAACCACACAGCTAATGCTATTCAGTGCATGCATATATTTTTAAGAAACTCATATGAAACAATGCATTACGAGGACAATATTGCATGAGTACCTTTTTCCATTTAAGAGCTGGCATCCAAAGATTACCTGTATCTGAACATACTGTGTACTTTATAGCCCTATACCTTTGTTTTTAAGTTTTACTTCACCTGGAGTGACTTCCACATTTCCTCTTTGTCTAGAAAACTATTAATTTTTAAGCCTCATATCCACACTTAAAAAATAAAATAAAATCTTGCAATTGTGATTGCTTCCCTTTCTGAACACATGCTATGGGAGCCAAATGGCACAGTGGAAAGACTGCCGAAAGGAATGGGAAGACTGGGGCTGTAGCCCTGCTCCAGCACAGGTGGCACTATCGGGGCAATTCTTTAACTGATCTGCTACTTACTTTTCATATCTATAAAGGAGAGATTAACTCAACGTGATATTAAGAATTACTGTTCTCTCTTTTTATGTAAGGACATAGCATCTTGAAGAGTACCTGGCTGTTTGGGAGTAATTATTTCTGTGTTTTTTTTTTTTTCCCACTAAAAAGCTGCCTGTTGGACCAGCAAAAAAGTCATGACGTTGCAGCTGGTGCAAGCTTATAATCAGAGGACCAGGCTACTAAGAAGAAGGCAGGAAGACCCCCGATGCGTGTCTTGCTCTGAATACATGATCATTACCAGCACGGGGTTACTGACTGTCACCCTGGAAATAGTTGTCATCGCAACTCCTCCGACCACATGGCTTTTTCTGGTGGAATAACGATGGTCACCACAGGCATTTTTGTTATTGCCCTAACTGGAGTGCTAACCCTGAGTGTAGTGAACCAGAACTCATGGAGAACCACAAGGCGAAGACTGGAACAGGAAGGAGGGACAGAAGTACCCAAGGCAGTACAGAGCCTTCAGTGACTGAGACCGAGAACCAGCACCTGGCTGTAACTGGATACTAAACCCTGATGTCCTTGGGCCTTTGCAACTTTGATTTTAAGTCTCTTAAGCGTTGATTTTTACATACAAATAAAATCTGGCTTCTTAAAAAAAAAGGAATTACTGTTCTATGTGTGGCGATGGACGTTAACTAGATTTATTGTGGTGATCATTTCACAATATATACAAATATCAAATTATTATGTTGTACCCCTGCAATACAATGTAATGTGTGTGTCAATTATATCTCAGTAAAAAATAATAAAAAAAGAATTATTGTTAACTTTTTAGGCACGTTAATGCCTATTGTGGTCATGCATTATAAACCATACTTAGCTTTCAGAGATGCTACTAAAATTTATAGATGAAATAATTTTACATTTGGAAGTTGCTTGAAAATAGTGCGGAGAAGGCCGGGAGGTGGTGGTGAAATGGTATAGATAAGGCATTAATTGATAACTATTGAACATGCATTAAGGGGTTCATAATACCATCCTGTCTATTTTTTAACACATTTGAAATTTTCCATAATAAAGAGATTTTTAATATGTTCTAAAGTTCTTTCCAGCTCTAAATCTCTACGATTCTATGTTTACTAAATGTTGTAATCAATTAGCAATCAATGACATACTCCCTTGTGATACCTCTTATCATTTTACTATTTTCTGTTAATATTTCATGAGTATGCTCTATTTCTTTGACTACACTATGATTTTTCCTAGACAGTGGCGTAGCTTTGGTATATTTGAATTTCCTTTATTATATCTAGATAATGAATAAATATTCAACTGAATAATGAGAGATCCAAGGGGCCAGATTCAAATATGATTTGAAGTGAGTTAAGGACACGAAATGAGACTTATTCTGAAAAATAACCTAAGACATTTAGAGATTAATACTGACACACGTCACCTGCAAATTACTACAAATGTTAAATTAAAACTTCTCTGGAAATATATATAGCCAATGAGTACTTCATATTTTGTCTGAAAGAGATAGGTTTTGTACACAAATTTTTTTGACTGCTTACAGCATTTTAGAAATAAATCATGAAATTCCTCACTATATTGAGTGGGAAAAAATCCCTAAGAGTACTAATAAGCTTTTTTCTCTGAAAGATGCAGAATTTAAATCAGTCTATTGCTGATATGTATGTACAAACTTTGTGCACAAAATATTTAGCCTGCCAGCATCTGCCACTGCCACAGACAGATTCAGATCAGAAGGCCCAGTTCCTTCCCATGAATTTTAATAGAATGTACTCGCAGCTGAGGACTGGCCCGCATTTCCAAGTAGTGATGAATGAGAAGACAGATGGGCCCCTGCAGTAACAGAAGGCCAAGTCTTCAAAGGTGGCAGCATCCTGCCTTCTCCGACATCAGTATACTCACTCTCGATCTATAACCAGGCATGCGACATCATTTTCTTCAGCAATAATGTTAGCTGATCTGACATCTTCACTGCAGACAAAAACAGGAAAGTCAGTTTTCTACAGTTAGAAATGAAACATCCATTTTTATTAGGGAATCTGCTACTTTGTATGAAACAACATCACTTAAATCTTCCAAAGTCTATGCTTTTTTTAAGATCATAATTTATACTCCACTCCTTTCCAAAAAAAGGATTTGAAAAGTGTCCCAATAAAGGTTATGTACATAAGGAATTCAGAGGAGAAGAAAACTGCACTGGGAACACAGAGGAAGCAGTGACTTCAACTGTGTATGGAATCTCATTCTGTGCTTGTGTCAGCCAAAACAGAATAGCTCTCCTCGGCTCAAACAAGAATTGCTACTTAATAAGCAGGTAAAACTGAAATTAACTGGCTAAAGAAATTTATTCGAAAAACATTCAAGTAATTAATATATAATAAACTAGTCAAGAATAAAACTCAAAGAAAGTGTTTTTAGTGCCATATCAACCAATGAATTAAATAATACTAAAATATTTTCATTTCATAGGATCTAAGGCGTACATTTTCCATTAAAATCTCTGCAATCAGAGTATGTCTTAGAATTGATAATGAGTCATAGTGTCACTAACAGCATTGTCTTTCTTTCTCAGGGATATATAGTAAAATGGTGCATCTTACAATCGATAACTTAAATACAATGAATTATGGCATATGATCTAATGATGGTAAATTTAATTACCTAATGACTACCAATGGGTCAAGCATCAGGTAAAGCATTTCTTTAGAGACCTTTACTGATATTAGTTTCTTCCCTCTACTAGTTATAAACTAAAGACACTGAAAAAAGTTACATCCATACGGTACCCGGTGCTCTGAGATTCATTTAAGGTAACCCAGAGCGGCAAGCATATTGAGACTGCTCTAAGCAACTTCATGAAAAATGGCAACACACAAAGTTCTTTTATCTTCCCTTAGGGATGGGACAGGGAAAACTTTGGTAGCCCATTTCTACCATTCCAAAGAAGTCCACTATCCACACAGAAGGCATCCAGAGACCTTCGGACATAACAGCCCCTCCGAGGTTTACAGGGTCCTTGCTAGAAGACATCAGTGAAAACCTTTCGGCTTGATGGGCTTTTGAGTTGGGAGCTGGGTAATTTGTACTCAACTTTTATGTGTGTAGATATCTATAGATACAGATATGATACTGGATGTGGACCAACTATTTGATTTGTAAGTTCAAGAAAAGGAGAGAAGTATGGCATCCTTTTCACTTGTCAGTGTCATCATTTTGACTAGGAATGTTCTGTGCACTTTATAGGTATTAGATGTTTATAAATATATGCATGTTTCTTCCATTATAGCTGTCTAAGTGCCATGGATTTATTTTTGCACATAAAATTCTGAAAGAACTCCTGGGACTATTTAATGTCAAGTCATGGAAATATACAGAATATAAGGAATACTGAGTCACAGTCAGTGGCCCTAAAAAGTGACAGCATAAAAATGCACAAAAATGTAAAAGTATTTGTATCCAACACTCCTTCACATTGATTTTAGCTTTATGCTTTCAAATGCTTTGGGGAGTTGGGTGTCTATCTTAAGTATAAATTCCCATGTTTCTCATGGGAAAACACTGTACTGGCTAGCTGCAACATACAGCATAAATTATTTCAGATCCAGCAAAACCAGACAGCATATTTCCTTTCAAGAGCTATTTGGACTCTACAGTGCATTTATAAAGTTCTCTGCACTTGCGAACTTTAGTTGTTTTGCCTGGAAATATGAGAAAAATAATCTGTAAATGCTAAAACCAAATACGTTGAAGTCTTGAATAATGACATTACATGACTATATTACATGAATGTATTCTATTCTGTCACAAATAAACAAACAAAAAATGGAGAATTTCCTTATTCTTGAAACAAGTTCATTACCAGCTAGAAAACGGGAAAGAAAAATTCAATGTCTTTAAATTTCATTTGTGAATTGTTTAAATAATAGCCATAATTTACTAAGTTTAAATACTTGGATTTTCTTTTTTAAAAAAAGAGCTTTATGATTTTTAAATAATAAAATTTGTCTTCAGATATGAATTTTTAAAGGCTTTCTTTGCTCTGTACTTATGTAATCCTAACACACAAATCAGCAGAACTAGGACTTCCCAGACAAAAGTCAGGAGGAAAATAAATGAACAGAAATACTATTCCTTTTTATAAGCATAAATTTGAAACAAAATCATTTAGTAATAACATAAATTTTGAGAAATTTCTTAACTAATTTCAAGTATTCATTTAAAATATATATATAACACCAAAAGGTGTGTTGCTCAAAACTTTAACTTGATCTATTATAAAGTTATTTCTATTTAAGAAAATGTATGTCTTCAGACTTAAGGTTGTTTCTGAGTTCCGGGAAGTACAAAGTGTCTCCTGAGCCATTTCATTAACTTTTATAAATATTTCTTCTATAAGTTAGATCAACAGTAAATAAACTCAGACCTCAAAAGACCTAAGGTTCAGGTAGAAATTTCAAATACACTATTTTGAGTTGTTTCTAAACTTGCAAAATGAGCTGATAAAAATTCTTAAGAAAATATTACCTTTGGCATGATGATTTAAAAATACACAAAATATATAAAGTCATTATTTGACAATTTTTTTAAAAGGGGGAAAACGGCAATATTTCAAAACTTGGAAATGTAAAAACTCATTCTTAAGGGAAAACTATAATTTTTACTTCTTTAATCTCTTTCTCTGACTCTTTTTTAAACTAGAAGTTGTGATAGAACATTAATTTTCTTTTCACTAGCAAACTTAAGACTTTGCAATTTATTTACTGTGCAAAATTAGTATATTTTTTATCTTAGTATATTATTTTTATATTTTATATTAGTATATTATTTTATATTAGTATATTATTGTCTGCATAACATTCTATTTTTTTAGAAGTCAGGTTAAAATTTTTGTTTAGGGGACCGGCCCCATGGCATAGCGGTTAAGTGCACATGCTCCGCTGCTGGCGGGCCGGGTTCAGATCCCAGGCGTGCACTAGACGCACTGCTTGCCAGGCCATGCTGTGGCGGTGTCCCATATAAAGTAGAGGAAGATGGGCACGGATGTTAGCTCAGGGCCAGTCTTCCTCGGCAAAAAGAGGAGGATTGGCGTGGATGTTAGCTCAGGGCTCATCTTCTTCACAAAAAAATAAATAAAATAAAATGACTCTAATAAAAAAAATGTTTTTTGTTTAATTCCTGGATATTGTAGCTCAATTGGACAACTCTAAACGAGTAGTTGCATATACAAAACAAAGAATTACTTAGGTATGGTAGATAAATTTATGGATTCACCTGATAAGAGCTTTTTCTCCAAAATATTCTCCTTTCTGCAGTGTTTTTATCAGTTGTGGTTGATCATGGCCCTCTGTACTCTGGGTGACTTTTACCTAAATGATGTCAAACAATTAAAAAGAGAGAGAGAAGAAAAAAGGAGAATCTGAGTGCATATCCATTCAACCAGACCCTCCAGATCTATATAAACTTGACTGAAGAAGGAAAAAGACAAGTCTTTGCTTTAATTTTGCCATAGTTAGGACAATCTAACTATAGTCAGCTCTGGATGGACTGAGACATCCTGTGATTTAACACAAAGGACTCCACCGTCTGTAAGAGGAAGATTCTCCATTTAAACTCCACCTCCCAAAGTTAAAAACTTTTATGTAAATCCAGTGACTCCTTCCTAGCGGTTCTCAAAGCAAATAATAATGGTCCTGTGAGAACTTTGATTACTTCAAAAAGCCAAATAGAGTTAGCAAATGAATCAAGAATAAAGCTGAGTATCAGGAGTTCTGAATCTGGTATCTGCAACTGACTCGCTGAATCCTGCGTACCCTCTAAAACTGAACAAAAAATGTGGATATGGAGAAGGGTCCACAGCTTTCACGGGTGTCTCAACATGACCCACGGCCCAGGAAGATTTAAGAAGCTCCATGGCAGAGCCAAACAAAAACTTCAATATTCCTTGTTTGTGGCTAGAATTATTCCCATTCAACACAGTAACAAGCGTTGCTTCATGCTGATTAGAAATTCTGATTACCATTTATAACTCGTAACTTGTATCTAAGTTACAATAAATTAAAATTTTAAAAATAATAAATGCAATTTGTTTATTAGCCAGAATTCTTTCAAAGCATGGAGTCCAGGTTGGGGAGAAATGATAAAAAGTGGTTCTGAACATTGAAGAGTTTCTGAGGTTTGAAATTATTTTGTTAATTTTTTTCCTTCACTGGGGTCCGGTTCAAAGTTCAACCACAAACCAGTTTACAAAGGGCAGTGCCTGACTCTCTGATGATAAACTCTTCCACAGAAGAAAGAACATTCGTAAAAATCCGACAGTTTTAGACACTGGTGCTCATGATTTTACTCTTTCCTTCAATATTTCACAAATGCCTTTTATCTCTGATGAACATTGTTAAGAGTCAACACAGGGAGCAACTGGCAACATGTTACCCACTCAATATCTAGGTAAAGAAAAAGACCTATTGTACATATTAGTATAAAATTTTCATCAGCATCTAAATCAACTTGAGGTACTGTATGAATGGAAGTTCTGAGCCATATTGTTCTATAGCTTGATGCCTGGCCATTGCTGTCCTCAATTGCCAAGTTCATTCTTCTCTACCTGCTGCTTGTCATATCTGTTGGATAGAAAAATGTTCCAGCCCTGATCTGGGACCTTGGGCTAATTGAGAATCACATACTCATAGCCAGAAAAGACCTTAGAAATAATCCAGTCATTTTATACACAATGAAACGAGGTCCAAAGAAAGTCAAGTGACCTGCCTAACGTCACTAAGAAGTTATTGGCTCAGCTGGAACCCATCACAAGTCTTCCGTGCCTCCAAACCCAGTGCTCAGATCAAACCCCACAGGACTCTTCTGGGAAGATGCTCCTTTACCCTTTCAACGCAGAGGACTTCTTTGAAAAGACTTTTTGATTTACTTGAAGTAAGCTTTAATTAATATTTACCTTTCCTTTTGCTAAAATGAAAAAGGTACTTCCTTCCTCGCCCTCTCTAATAATGTAGTCTCCTTTGTCATAGTATTCCTATTGGGATGAGAGAGAAAGAAAAGGTTAGATCCAGTGGAGACGAACAGATGAATACATAATGAAATAGAACTCCTTGTGTCTTTGAAATCAGCATTCCACACCTGTTTCTTGTATTTTTTCCTTATTGTAACTGTAATCTTGTTTTAACACTGCAGTTGTAAACTGTGGAAAAGTAAAGAGATTTTTGCTGTATGATCTGCATTTATGTTTATCTTTCAGAGAAAAAACTGCCCTGGAATACTGCATTTCAGGCATGGACATTGAAGACATGAAGAGAAAGGACAGCAAGACAATAACCACTGACACCCAGGTTGGCCTCCACCTAAATAATCTAAGTATAAACTGTTTCGTGATCGGCAACAGTCTGAATTGGGTCTAGAGTTTCAAAAAAGAACAAATAATTATCTAATAAATTGAAAATATTATCCTCAATGGATATTAGGCATATCAGCCTCAATTTCTAATTCCTTGAAGAGTAACTGCTTGGAAAATTCTACATACATAGTAAATAGCTCTTTCATATGGATTCTTTCCAAAGATTTATCATCATAAAGATTGACACTAGAATTTTTTACATATAAATTCTATTCTTCAATGTAAGTTTATCCTCATGAATTCTCAAATTGTCACATTTCTTTTTTTTTTTTTTTTTTTGTGAGGAAGATCAGCCCTGAGCTAACATCCAAGCCAATCCTCCTCTTTTTGCTGAGGAAGACTGGCCCTGGGCTAACATCTGTGCCCATCTTCCTCCACTTTATATGGGATGCCGCCACAGCATGGCCTGACAAGCGGTGCATTGGTGCGCACCGGGGATCAAACCCGGGCCGCTTGCAGCGGAGCACGCACACTTAACCGCTACGCCACAGGGCCGGCCCCCTCAAATTGTCACATTTCTTTGTCTATATGTGTGAGTGATCAGAGAACTCGGGCAGGGAAAAGTAAGTCATCCGCCTGTCAGACTAAAAGAGCAATTCAGTCTCTTAGAAAACAAAGGATGGATTAAACCGTCCACCTGTACTTTGCTTGAATTTGATATTGTCTCCAAGTCATAGAACTAAAATGGATCTCAATTATTTATACAAACAAAAATGGGCTTGTTTAATTTTTTAAAAAGGCATAATTAACAATACAATAGCTCTCTCTTGTTTTTCTTTTAGACTTGAAAACAAAATCCAAACAAAACTACTTTTGTATCTGCTATATCTCAATATATTTTTGGTCATTTACTCTTAAAACCTATTTACATTTATGGAATAAATATTACTCCTAATACTAATAAACATACCTTTTATTTACATAGCACTATGTACATTTTACAAGACATTTCAACATCTCAGGGAAGGAAGCAAAATATCTTAGAGGGAAAAGTACTTTGAAGCCAAACAGGTCTAGATTCAAATCCCAGTTATGCTTGGAATTTCACTTCCATCAATGCATAAAATTCAAATAAGAACATTTACTTTCAAGGATTTAGAGAAGAGAAGCACATTAGTTTTCTACTGCGGCTCTAACAAAGCCACACACTTAGTGGCTTAAAACAACAGCCATTTATTATCTCACATTTTCTGTGGGTCAGAGTCCAGGCACAACATAGCTCTCCTAGATTTCTCTGCGTTAAGATTTCTCAAGACTGAATTCAGGGTGTAAGTAGGGCTGTGTTCCTTTTTTGAGGCTCAGGGGAAAATCCGCTTTCAAGCTCATTCAGGTTGTCAGGAGAATTCAGTTCCTTGCAGTTGTAGGATAAGGTCCCATTTCCATGCTGGCTGTCAGCAGGGGCTGCCCCTTAGCTCCTAGAGATCTGTCTCTGGTCCTTGCACAGAGCCCCCTACATTTCAGAACCAGCAATGGCATGTCAAATTCTTCTTACATTTAGAATCTCTCTGACTTCCACTTCTGCTGTATATCTCTGGCTCCAGCCACAGAAAATTCTCTGCTATTAACGGCTCATGTAATTATACTCGACCCACCTAAATAATCCAGGATCATCTCCTTATTTGAAGGTCCTGAACCTTAATTACATCTGCAAAGACCCTTTTGCCATGTAACATAACTTATTCACATATTCCGGGGATTTGGGTCTGGACATTTTGGCAGGGGGGAGGGGGTGGTCAATTCAGCCTACCACAATAAGCCAATTAAAGACAACTTTTTTTTTTTTTTATTGATGTTTTAATGGTTTCTAACATTGTGAAATTTTGGGTTGTACATTTTTGTTTGTCCATCACCATATATATGACTCCCTTCACCCCTTGTGCCCACCCCCCACCCCCACTGCCCCTGGTAACCACAGTCCAGTTTTCTCTGTCCATGTGTTGGTTTATATTCCACATATGAGTGAGATCATACAGTGTTTGTCTTTCTCTTTCTGGCTTATTTCACTTAACATAATACGCTCCAGGCCCATCCATGTTGTTGTAAATGGGACGATTTTGTTAAAGACAATGTTTTTTGATGCATTAAAAGGATCTAAGGGCCAACCCAGTGGCCTAGTGGTTAAGTTCAGCATGCTCTGCTTTGGCAGCCCAGGTTTGGCTCCTGGGCGCCGACCTACACCACCCGTCTGTCAGTGGCCATGCTGTGGCGGTGGCTCACATACAAAAAGAGGAAGATTGGCAGCAGATGTTAGCTCAGGGCGAATCTTCCTCAGCAAAAAAAAAACGAACAAAAAAAGCAGCACCTAAAACATAGTAAATACTCAATTAATGATTGCCATCTTAAGGAGTATAATGGTTTGCTTAGCTGTTACTTAAATCTTCTGGACGTCAGTTTCCTTTTCTGTAAAATTAAGACGGTATGACCCACCACACCTAATGTTGTTTGAGGACTAGGTGAGACAGTGTACCTAAAGCTCCTGGTGGCACATTTGGTAGGCACCAGGCATCTGATGACTGTTAATTCCTGTGAAAGAGGCCGTGAGCTGGTCATCAAAGTCTTCCACAGTGAACTGCACTCCCCAGCCTCCCTGCTGTTAGCTGTGGCCATGTGATTAACTTCTAGCTAAAAGAATCTGAGCAGAAGAGACAGGTGCCACCTCCATAGACTATGAACTGTTTTAGGCACGTGTCTTCATACTCTTCCCCCAACTGTAATGGCATGGCCCAGAGAGATCTTGGGAGAGGGACCACGTGGAAAACAGCAGAGTAGCCATCAGCTTGGCTTCCTGAATGACTCTTTGGAGCCAACAGGACCCATCCTCCCTGGACTATTATGTAAGCAAGAGACAAACTTCTTATTTTATCTAGAAAATGACATTTTGAGGGTTTCTGCCTCACGGTTTGCTTACTCCAACTCTTTATTCTTTCTCATTTTAGCTTTATCACAAACTTGCGCAATATACAAGCTCAAGTTTACAGTGAGATGACTATGACCCTTGGAGGTTAAGCGAGTGATCACGACACTGCAGTCCAGGTATCTTCATTACCCGGCTAATGCTCAATTCTCTTTACTAAAGCTGCTGGTGTCATGTTAGATGTTCCTGTTTCAGAAAGTCTGCTCTCCAGTCTCTCCTGTTCCCATCTCAATCTCAGTCCCCATTACCCACGGTACAGAAGGAACAGGAGAATTTTTGAAGCGCTGGTAGACTGTTCTTCAGGTATTATAAAGCCTTTGGTGTGTGTGGAGGTTCAGCTTTAACTCCTGTCCGCCAGATAAGTTAAACAGGAGAAGCTTGAACGGAAACACTGAGAAAGTGCTTTGTTGTTTCCTAAGGGACAACCTTCCTAGTGGTATTTTTCCCAAGGATAATTCTTTGTCACCCAAAACCATGGGAGGAAGATAAATAATACCTCCCAGTGTGTTGACAGTAGCTTCATAGATCAGAACAGGCTGTGGATGTAGGTCAGACCAAAAATATATGGTGGGAAGTACTGGCTATGATGCTAGACTGGCCAATGTTTGTCAACTGGGGAGTGCAGCCAGTCTAGCTAGGGTGGTCACCAAGACCAAAACAGAAATGCAAACAGTGTGGTTATTGTCCCGTGGTTACATCGCAAAGGGGTCCCTTACAGGACCAAGAAGCCATAGACCCCATCCTGTAGAGAAATGGTTTTCAAGCACTTTTTTTTTCTTTTCTACAAATACATTTTACATGTACACTCAAATACACACACACAAGCATTCACACATACAGACATTTATATAAAATTGAACTATATTTAGACAATACTTATACTTACTACTCTGATATTAAAAAAAAAATGTTCCTCTAAATTGCTTTCATGGCCTACTGATGAGTTGTGACCCACAGTCTGAAAAAGATGTTTTAAAAGAAGACGTCTAGAAACTTTGAGAGGAGTTACGTAGTGTATGGCAAGAGGGAAAAATAAGAAAACCAATTCCAGGACAGACTGAGAGGTAGAGGTCAAAAGAAAACTATACAAACAGCCACAGATAAAGATGGAAAGAGTTTTTCACTGTAAAAAAAAATGCTCTTTCTGTGATAATGCTAGAGTCTGAGCACCTGAAAATAGAATACATAAAACCAGAAGAAAAATCCAAGGTGATGGGGACAAAGAAGCAAACTCTTAGAATCTTTAGAGTGCGATAGAAATCTTCATTACAAAGAGGTATTGATGATATGCACAGTTATGATACACAGACACATACACACACACACACACACACACACATACACACATACACACACACACGCTCCTTACATCGTGTGACTATGTACCCAAGTTGGTTGTTTAAAAATACAGTTATTTGGATTGTTACCAGCTATTTTTTGTTTGCCCAAGTACAACAGTTAAAGCACCTTAGAAATTTTAAGGCAAACACACCTGGATCAGGTGGACCCTATCAACCATCCAGGCAAAATTTAGTAGATTTTAGATTGTTTATTTCCAAGGAACCAGAGCCTATAAAATGAAAACGAACAGAAACTCCTGTGATTTAGGTGAGCCAACTGTATAGAATTCTGTAACTGAAACAATGAAAGAGCCCTTAGAGATGTGCTCCACCACCCCCTTATTTTGTACATGAGGAGACCCTAATGCCCACCACAATTAATTGACAGAGGCTTGACCACAAACCCTAATCTCCAAACTTTGGACCAGTGAACTTTCTACAACACCTAGCTGCCCCACCTTTAAATAACTGGTCCATAAACTGTGGCAAAATCCACAATTACCTCAACTTTCTTAAGGCTCTGGATGTAATCATTAAAATGAGAAAATCCCTCTAGCTTATGCAAGTGTTACCAGAAACTATAAGAAAGGAAGACTAGACTTTTAAAAAATGATAAAAAGTGAAAAATTCCTGAATAAAGAGGCAGACTATGGCAAACTTTAAATATATGCAAAGTCATGTGCCACATAACAACATTTAGGTCAACAACAGACTGCGTATACAACGGTAATCCATAGGATTAGTACCATGTAACCTAGGTGTGTAGTAGGCTATACTATCTAGGTTTGTGTGAGTGCATTCTTATGATGTTTGCACAACGACTAAATCACCCAACAATGCCTTCCTCTCCGTCATTAAGAGAAATATGACTGTATTCTTATCATAAACTAGTGCTTCTCAAACTTTAATAAGCATAAGAATCACATAGTTAAAATGTTAAAATGTGGATTTCTGGGCCCCTACCCCAGAGTTTCTGATTCAGTAAGTGTGAGATGGCATCTGGGAATCTGCCTGTTAAGCAGCACCACAGGTGATCTGAGTATAGGCAAAGACACTTCACACCACCTCACCCCTGCCCTACTCCCACTACAACTCCAGTTTTGTGAAACATGGCATGTCAGAGTCGCAGTGCAAAGGGTCACTGAGTAAAATACCAAAGCTCTGTAACAAAGAGTTAGGTGACTTGGATCAACCCCACAGTCAAATCCCATGCTTCCTGGATTGATCACCACGAGTAGAAGTAGAAACTCTTTTCACTCTTGTCTTCCATACTGCACAACTACCAGGTGCAGAAGTCATGTTATCATTTTCATTATCATTAATAGTTACACTACTTTCTGAATCTGTATCATGCTTTATGATGTTCATTAGTTAACTCTTAAAGCACATCAGTGAATATGTTGGTACTATTCCCACTCTCCTTTTCCCATCAGAACACGAGAAGAGGCTTAAAGGCAACGTCTGCCTCTAGAACTGAATGTTCTGAGTGACTTAAGGTAAAGCAAGAAATGCCATTGGGGGGCCGGCCCAGTGGTGTAGTGGTTAAGTTTGAGCGCTCCGCTTCGGCAGCCCAGGGTTCGCAGGTTCAGATCCCGCGCAGACACACGCACTGCTTATCAAGCCATGCTGAGGCGGCATCCCATATAAAGTAGAGGAAGATGGGCACGGATGTTAGCCCAGGGCCAATATTCCTCAGCAAAAAAGAGGAGGATTGGCAACAGATGTTAGCTCAGGGCTAATCTTCCTCACAAACAAAAAAATAAATGCCATTGGAACACTGCCCAATCACGGCTATTTGGTCTAGGAGTTCAACAGTCAAAGTCTTAACAAACACATCAGATCTTTGGCTTGGTGATGGGCAACTCTGATCTCCCTTCCCTGCCCCTGCACAAAAATTAAAAACCTTCCAAATCAACTACTAAACAACAACCAGATTCAGCCTGTTTTTCTCGAAGATTATGGAGCCAGTTTGTGGGACAGCTGGTCCTGGAACTCATCAGGTGCTCTGTCATAACTCCGATGCATTAGTGATTGACTGTTGTCAGGACCCTGTTGATGGGTCATTAGTCCAAGCTATGCTGGTAAATTATGTGCTTTTCTCAGCGCTAAATACATCCCACTACTCCCCTGTTAATTACTTTTGCATTTGAGAATTTTCACACATTACAGAGACACATTTGTTTGCCAGGTATGAATAAAGAGCCCTTTATAAACTGTGCTGCTGTCTGCAAATGCTGAGATATAATAAAGCCTTTCTAAGGTTTTTTAAAAGATGAGACTTTAAAATTCGAATTGTGTGTTGATTAATACTGGATTTGAGCCCCCATCTATATATTCTGTAGCTATTGCCTGTGGCTGCTATAAATATGTCTAATTTACCATTTATTTTTAATGATACTAAATTTTAATATTTGCTGTCAGCATGGAATTCCCCTCTGGTGAATCTACTCTATTAGTATTATATTAAAAACAGATTTCCGAGGTTAAGAAAAAAATATAGGGCCTCTCCAGCTTTAAAAAAAAACATTCTCAGAAATTAGGATGAATTATTAATTTGTAACATCTGTGATTGGGTTATGTTACACTGGGAAAATCCCAAGAGATGAGGGCAAGCAGTCCTCTTGAAAATGACTTCATATCTGAACGCTCTGGGGACACAAGGCCAGGCACTGTGTCATCATGGCCTGTCCTTGATAAACTGCTGGATGGGTTCCATGAATTGTAAATAGAAACATTACTGGTGTCACTTACACTTAAGGATAAAATGGTCAGTGCTCCCTTCTCAACAGATATTAGTTTACATTGTATATCATGATTGACAGAGGCATGAATCTGTCAACAATCAGTCTTGCCGAACTTTTTTTGTCTCCCACTGAGAACAGATTTATAAAAGCTTAAAGTCTACCTGTGACTTCTCTACTATTCCTTACCTCCTTTAAATTCCATAAAAGCCATTTTGGTTTCAAAGAAATTGACCCCGAAAAAAGTTAGAGAGAGGTTATTTGCTTTGAATTTTAATCTCTGAAATCTGAAGAGGTTTTCATATAATGCACATCATAGTAATCCAAGAGACATGTCATAAAAGCATTATTCACGGAAGACTTGACTAGTCTTGGACTAGAACCAACCATCTGGGTGATGCCTAATATGAGTTTTTGAACGCATTCCAAAGTACCATTTTTCCCTAGATGTTAAAATAGGTAAAGTGCTTCTGAAGCACAGTTTTGTTTTGTTTTTTAATGTCTTTTCATGGCCTAGAGTTTTCAAGTATGGAGTATTTCATAGCCTGATTCAGAAGCCTGTCACCAAAAGCCCCAGTATACCCTTTCTCTACTCCATCACCTAATTATGCATCACTGACTGCCTTATGCTATGAAAACTCTATGAGGAATTGTGATGTTAATTGCAGAAAATTAGATTCCTCTTGAGTAAGGCAGATTCATTTCACAGAATATACTAAAAAGATTAAAATATGTAAATCAAATGTCACTTTAGACATGCACATCCAATTTCCTTTTATACATTTCAGAAGAGTCACCGAAACCCATCCCAGCCCCTTAATTCAGTGTGAGTTGGCCTAAGGTTTTTCACACTAGAAAAAGGCTCCTGGTCTCTGTAGACTGGTGATCTACCATCTTTACCATGTTTTCCTTTTTATTCATTTACAGTGCTAATAATGATGAGATTAAACTATTTTTTAATAAAATGTATTTTTTACTTTAAAATTTCTTACCACTTCCAAGCAGTCAATGATCTTGGTTAATTTATCTTCAGGTAAATTCTTCAGCAAGGATACACTTCAAAATTAAAAAGAAACCTTTATTTAATTATCTTCCTGAATTAAAGTATAAATACACAGCTCTGTGTAGATTCAAAAATCTTTACACGCATTTAAAAAAATATAACGCACTTTAATTTTTCCAAAGTAAACCTTCAAATATATCACACATAAATAATTGAATTTCAAATACATTGAAATTATGTAATCACATATAATCACAGACATTTATCATAAGCAAATAAATAAAAACAGCAAGACACTATAAAGACAAAAAAATCAAATTTTGTCTGTTTGCAGAGAAAAACATTTTACGTTTGTTGCTGGTTTTCAATGTGAATCTTGTCCAGAAACGTGTTTCTCTCCACATCTCAATATCTCTTTTATTAGCATGGGTGGGGAGCTCTGTATACAGAGGAGGATCAGATTTTCATCTAAATCCTTGTAATTAAGTAAAGACTGAATCCAGGGGGGAATGTAGGAATTAGCATGGAAATGATCTTTGATTATTAGTCATACTGTACTATCTTTTAAAATTAATAGTAGCCAGAGGCATGTACTAGAAACATTTTACAGATAATATACAAAGAATGAAATAGAATACTGAAACATTATTTTTTTAAAAAATCAGAAATTTCACTCAGTATGATCAACCAATCAATAGATTAAATTGTTCTTTTAGAGAAATCTCTCTTCTGCTTCACCCATTTTTACTCAGAACTGTTGATATAATTTCTATAAGATAAATACTTCTTTCTTACCATCTAAAATTTGACACTGCTAAGGAAAAAATGATGCTACTCCAAAAATACATCATTGGATCTGATTTTTGAAAAAAGAGCTATAGACTGATCCTTGCACATGTGCACCAGGAGGCATATGTCCAGGAGATGTGTATAATAAGAATGTTTGCATCAGAATCATTTGTAATTGCAAAACACTGGAACACCTCCCCAGTGGGAGAGCAGTTAAACACACTGCGGTAGAGTCAGAAAACGGAACTCCACGACAGGAGAAATGACTGAACTAACCAAATGGATGAATCTTAAAATATATATACATATTGAGCGAAAAAAATAGTTGCAAAAAATAACACCAATTTTATAAAGTTCAAAAACAGGTTAAATCAAGCTATATATATAAATCAAAATAATAAAGAATACCACAGGAATGATTACTAAACTTCAGAATACAGACTACCCCAAGGAGAGGGGGTGGGAGGCTAGGAAATGACGTGGGGGAGCACATGAGAACTCCAATAACATTGCTAACTTTCTACTTCTTAGGTTGGGCAGCAGCTTGACAGCGCTCATTATGTTATTATGTTTTATAACTTACATGTGTACTATGTATCTTTTATATATATCACAGAGCTCATAATAAGAAGATGTAATTGGAAAAAGAAAGAGCTTATTGTATATTATGAAACAAAGAGAAATGTATTTCTCTAATATGTCTCCTTATTGATGAAAAGGTAAAAAGGAACCAGAACTTTTTTATATATAGTGGCATTTACTGCAAGGGAACACTTTTGTTCCTTTGGTTTAATTGATTAACACATGCTCATCAGGAAAGTTCTACTTCTGGTCCAAACTGGGATCTACAACGTTAGTGAAGATTCTCTCCCATAAACCCATCACCTTTGGAGATTGGTGAGGAAATTGATAGGAGGAAAAACCATCTGTCTCCCCTCCATGCAGGCAGAGATCGGGTTTATCTTGTTCACCACTGAATCTACAATGTTTAGGGCCTGGCAATAAGTATTTGTTGAATAAATGCTTGAATGAGATAACAAAAGGAAGGAAGGAATATGTACTGGTAAATTCTCTGAGCTCCTTCCACTAAGACAGAACACACTAGACTCCAAGGGAATGAACTGCTATGCCTAGTGGTTCAGGTTTTACCTCAGATATTCAAATGCAATCCATGAGCACTGGTTTATTTATCCCTCTTTGGCCCTTGCATATGTGTGGTACATTAGTTTTAAATGCTGACCTGTGTTGCTCAGTTGTTGGATTTTGAGATCACCTATACTCAGGTAGACCCTACAATATGATGGCTAAGGCACTGGTTGGCATATAGGTAAGGCACCTCCTTGTCATTATGGCAGCTCTCTGCCTGAGTCATTATTGTCTCTGGGAGAGTAAATCAGCAAGATTCTATATGAGAAACCATAATGCCTGCAATGTTCTACTGATTAACGCCTTCATTCAATATTTATTGAGTCCTCGCCATATGCTGGGCACTGAATAGCCCTAAGATCATTGACTCTGCAGGCTAGTCATGCAAGATAAAATCATTATACTTAAAAAGAACTTAGAATTTATTTTTTGAAAGCGCATGATATTTCATTATTATTACCACTTACCATAGGTAACATTTCATGACAGTATGTCTTGCAGCTTCAGAGACTGTCAAAACTCCCACAAAAGACACAGAAATAGTTTAAAAAAGAAAATTATATTTTCCAAAAAAATTTTTTAATGTGTAACTGACTTTTTCAGTTACACGTATTTGTTTGTCTATCATTTGATGCATCCAAGTTGTTGGGGATACAGAACAGTTCACAAAATGAATTTGTTCTGAGGATCCATGTCATCATCAGAAGCACAGTAACATTTTTGGCAAGTTAATTTGCTACAAATAATAGCAATTTGAAAGATGGTGTGGCTATGCAAATGAGAAAAAGAATATCTCAGGTAAAGCAAGTAAGGATAGTAAAATAAATTAATTTTAATATTATTCTAGGCAAAGCATTATTAGAAAGATTATCTTTTGCTATCCACTTCCAAATTATAGAATGTCTTTCAAAATCAACTGAGCAATCCAGCTGAATATTTTAGGATTTTTTGCACATTTTTCTATACTATCTACAATGACTCCATCAATACAAGAACAAACTTAGCAAGAGAAATAAATCAGTGTGCAAGGCTAATGGGAACTAAATATAATTTTTTATATATAGAAGCATTTACCGCAAGGAAATAGTTTTGTTCCTTTGGTTTAATCATGTGGAAAATGCTTAAATGAGAGAAACTATAGTAAAGTAATCATTCTGATAAAACCAACATAGCCACAATATGTCTTCACCATCTTCTGTTCTTTCCACCAACGTGTTACTCTTACCTTCTAAGGAAGTTTCTGTACTGTTCATCTCTAGCTTGAGCTGTCCTTCTCATTATATTCTGGAATACCTCTCGATCTAGTGCCCAAGTTTTAACATTGGTAATAGCTTTAGAAAAATCAAGAAAATAATAAAATATTGTTTAGCCTCACATTAAGAAAACACTCTAAAATGTTACTCAATACATTTTTCATATAGTCTCATAAAATGATATTTCTTGGAAAAGGCACGGCACATTAACAACAACAAACATGCAAATGGAAGAAAGTAGTGATATAAATAGTGGGTAATTTCATAAAATCATTTTTGGCTTTGAAATGAAGCATGATTTGGAAGTGAGTAGCAAAAAATTTCCTTTCTAATTATGTTTTGCTTAGGATTATATTAAAATTAGTTTGCTATTCCTAATTACACACTACATCATCAGAATGTATTTCAGATTTGTGCTGTGATACAAGAGAAAGCCAGCCAGCCTATAGCTAGCTAATCCAGAGAGTGAAGAATTCACAAGCAGATAATTGAAAGTTAAAGATCTCTGTGTGTGTAAGTGTGTTTTTATGTCTTTTATGTTGTTTAGACATCATTGTTAATGAGAGCCAATGTATTTTAAGGATCTCTATGGTTACTTTTGTATAAAATGTATATAAATCATTGTCAAAGAGACTATGCAAGACAGTTTTGGAGACAATTTTTTTATGGGAAAGACATTGAAAGCAAGAACAAAATCTAAAAAGGAAGAGGCGCAGAAGTAGCAGCTCTAAAAAAATCTATATGAAATTATGGTTGTAAGCTTTTTTAAAAAGGAGAAATGAGGGCCTACAAAACAGATCAAAATCCAAACCTCTGAGTTACTAAACTTTAGAGTGAATTAGAATCCTCTGGACATTCTTGTTAAACATGCAGATCCCTGGGCCCCACTGCCAGAGATTGTTTGGAGTGAAGCCCCAGAATACGCATTTTTAACCAAATACTGCATAACGCTGAGTCTCATAAATAGTCCCAAATACTGAGAAACACTACATGTAATTCAGAAGAAAACCCAAGATTGCCATGAATAAAGTCAATAAAAACAGGAAGCCTAAGGAGAAGCAATTAAACTAATCCCAAAAGTCATTCTCGAAAACTCTCATTAATTAAATCATATCCCTTTTGATGTATATACATTTTCATTGGTTTAATTATTTTTTCTGGTGTATAATATGGTCAGATCCTCATGGAGAATAGAAAGCAAACATTCTGGATGAGCCAAAGGCAGATGTCTACATAGTAAAAAAGTGAAGCAGCAATTAAAGCAAATATGGAATCATTCAGTTTAAAGCCATTTTTATATTTGATATACAGGTATCTGATGGGAAGGTTCTTTTAAGCTTAAATCATTTAGACAAGTGCTTCAATACAAATCCTTTTATAAGCATAGCATTTCTATTAATAAATGCATATGAGACACAATGGGAGACAAAAAGACTCATGATGCAATAGTGACTTAGGTTATCTTTAACATGTAATAATTCAAAAATACAGCATTTGATCTCCTGTTACCTTTCACAGAGGCAGTCCTTGTACAGTTGTATAAAATGGCTAGTTCTCCAAACGTGGTCCACATAGGGATGGATGATAGCAATTTCTCCCCTTGGAACACCTCCAGTCGGCCCTCTATCAAGTAGAATTTAAGAAAAACACAAATAATCAAAATCCACCTGGATTCCATAAATTAAAAAAATAAAACAATCAGAAAGTACACAAAGCATACAGGTAAGATGTTTATGATTCTTATTATAATAAACTGGTTATGAGTGCAGACTGAAACCACTTTTGCCACTTACTCACTTTAACCAATTCGCCTTAAAAGAGTTACCCACTCTGTCTGGGTTCCTCGTTGATAATGGGGATAATAATAATAATATTTACTTCATGCTGTTTGTTGTGAGAATTAAGTCAATATAGGTAGGGAACACAGAACAATGGCTAGCACATAATAAAAGCCACGTAAGTGTTAGCTATTGTTAATATTATTATCATTGTTAACAAAGCTCTTTCACTGAAGCAGTGGATGGCAAGTGTTTTATTTAAAGTTCATTCCATCCCATGAAAAACGTAGCACATGAAACTATTTCTCTTGTGCAAGCAACACAACAATGACAGTACATCTTGAAAACAGAGCACAGACGTTCACCCCGGCAGAAGGACTAACTTGTCATAACTGAGAAGTGGCCTGGCCCTGGAGCCACACTGCCTGGCTCTGACTGGTCATTGGCTGTGTGACCTGGGGTAAGTGACTTCACCATCCCTCAATTGTTGTCCAAGCCTCATTCATGGAAATGAATTAATACATGGAAGTCACTAAGAAGAGTGCTTGAGAAAAACAATGCCAAGAGAATTAGAAAACAAGCTACAGGCTGGAAGAAAATATTTTTGCAAAAGACACATCTGATAAAGGATTGTTTTACAAAATATAAAAAATATACTGTTTTCTGAAAACTCAACAATAAGAAAACAACCCACCTAAATGTGCCAATGACCTTAATAAATACTCCCAAAAGAAGATTTACAGATGGCAAATAAGCATATGAAAAGAGGCTCCACATCATATTTCATCAGGGAAATGCAAATGGAAACAATGAGATACCACTACACACCTATTAGAATGGCCAAAATCCGGAACACTGACACCACCAAATGCTGGTGAGGATGTGGAGCAACAGGAACTCTCGTACATTGTTAGTGGAAATGCACAATGGTACAGCCACTATGGAAGACAGTTCGGTGTTTTTTTGCAAAATTAAACATATTTTTACCATACAATCCAGCAACTATGCTCTTTAGTATTTACCCAAAGGAGCAGAAAACTTAGGTCCACACAAAAACCTGCACATGGATGTTTATAGCAGCATCATTCATAATTGCCAAAACTTGGAAACAACCAAGATGTCCCTCAGTAGGTGAAAGGATAAATAAACTGTGGCACATCTAGACAACAGAATATTATTCAGCACTAAAAAGAAATGAGCTAGGGGCCAGCCCAGTGGCATAGTGGTTAAGTTCGGCGCACTCTACTTTGGCGGCCTGGGTTCATGGGTTCAGATCTCGGGCACCAACCTACACCACTCATCAAGCCATGCTGTGGTGGTGACCCACATATAAAGTAGAGGAAGACTGGCAAAGATGTTAGCTCAGTGACAATCTTCCTCCAGCAAAAACGAGGAAGATTGCCAACAGATGTTACCTTAGGGCCACTCTTCCTCACCAAAAGAAATGAGCTATCAAGCCATGAAAAGACATGGAGGAGCCTTAAATGCATATTACGAAGTGAAAGATGCCAATCTGAAAAGGCTACATACTGTATGATTCCAACTATTCGAGATTCTGGAAAAGGCAAAACAATGGAGAAAATAAAAAGATAAGCAGTTGCCAGGGGTAAGGTGGGGGTGAATGAATAGGCAGAGCACAGAAGATTTTTAGGGCAGTGAAAATACTCTGTACGATATTATAATGATGGATATCTGTCATTATATATTTGTTTAAACCTACAGATTATACAACATCAAGTACGGACTTTGGGTGATTATGATGTGTCAAAGTAGGTTCATCCTTGTTAAAAAAATACATATACCGGAGTGACGTCAGCATCATGGCGGAGTGAGCTTTCCCGTGAACTCTTCCCCCACAAGATACAACAAAAGCAACAGCCACAGACCAACAATGGAATCCCAGACAGTGAAAACCTAGAGCGGAGGGATCCACACTGCCGCACATCTGAGAGCAGAACGTGCTGGGCCCCCGAGGAAGTGGGGAGAGGTAAGGAGAACTCCGCTCCCTCCCCATCAGATCAGCGATCCCGGTCCGCGCGCGGCTCCCAGAGAGGGGGGAGAGGCGGCCCTCGGCAGGGAAACCATGGCTCTTCGGACTCTCTCAGCCAGTGGGAAACTCCCGCACAGAGGACTCAGAGGAGCCACAGGGCTACCATCAACATCTGAGCACCCCAGAGAGCGGATAAAGTGGGGCAAATGAGAAGCCTCCCACGTCAGGGACCCAGAGGGCAAAAGAGAGAGCTCCCCCCTCCCCACAACCCGGAGTCTGCAGCTCGACCAGACCAGACCTAGCGATC